GATGCTTGGCAAATAAGCAAAAATTGAAAAGCCCATTGGGTCGGCAATTCTATTTAGTGAAGATATATTGAGAGGTAAAAATACCTCTTATTTCAAAATAAAAATAAATTAAAATTAATTGAATAATTTTATTTTTTTAATTATATATTTATTTTCCCTTACTATTAACAATATCTTATTTATTTATTTTAAAATTAATATATATAAATAATCTTAGAGTACTTTTCAAACATGTTTTAGATCGAGACAAAAACGAAATTACATATCATGTTCTGTTGTTATCCTTATTCGATACGAATCGAATTTATTAAATTAAACTTCGAACTTGACTAAACAAAGTTTATGATTCTTTTTTTTTGTCAAACCAAAAATTAAAATAAATACTAAAATTGACATATAAAGCATTAAGTGCTCACTACAACTTGTGTGAATAAGAATAATGATATGAAAAAGAGATATAACCAATGCAAAGGCTACCAAATTGTTCTTCCATATATGTGATTGAGAAATATATATATATATATATATATATATATACACACACGCACACGTACTCGCGCGACACGTTTTTATATAATCGCATGATTTTTTTTTATTAAGCTAAGGTGATTCTAAAGTTTTATATATTATAAGTACTTTTAACTATTTGACAATGAACGCTCAATCACCCTTGCAGTTCCTAATGCTCGAACTCGTGACATGTAAGAACAAAAACGATTTCGTTAACCATTGAGGTGATTTGATTCGTGCAACGATCGTATGGTTTTTATTTTAAGCAAAACGGAATGATTTATTTCACGTTTGAAAAATTCATGTACCAAACTACACTAAAATAATCTTCAAGTATTGAAGTGATTATCAGATACAACTTCACGTACTAAAGCACTATTTACCCCTATCAAAATAATAGATTTATGATATTATATTATAAGTATAAAATAATATTTCTTTATGTATTTACGTCTATTTTATGATTTATATTTAAAATTCGCACGCAGTGGCCAAACTAAAGAGAGACTAGTGGGGGGCATGACTCCCCAAAATTTAAGAAATTATAATTTAAACTCTTAAAATTTTAAAAAAATTAATTTTGCCCCTAATATTTTTAAAAATTTATATTAAACTTTAATTTTTTTTTGAATTTTTTTAATTAAATCACCTCCCATAAATTTTAAAAATTCTCATTAAGCAAGAAAAGTAAAAGTAAAGTATATGATTTAATTTGTTTAGTGAGTTTAATGAGATTTATATTTCATACCAAAGATTGTCATTTCAAAAAGTAATGTAAAAATATCATAAGGAAAGGATGATGATTGTAGATGTCGATGACGATTCATCTCTCTTAATTTATGTGAAGAGTATTGAATAGCGGTAATGGAAGGCTCGAGTATGATGAGAGATTTGAGAGCAAATGAGCTGGGACAGATGCATGATTTTTATCTTAGGCAGGTGAACTTCAACTTATAAAATTTTAGGTTATGAAAACGGATTTTCAATAGAAAATACGTAGAAAAATCTAAAACATGCGACAATTTTAAATTTTCAAGGATGACTGCTCCACCCATCTCCCTCGGTCTATCCCCACAAATGGATGCTTTGATGCTGGGGAGAAGAGAATCCTCGAGAATGGAGGAAAAATCTTCTTTGTTCGGGGGGAGATAAAAAAATTATCATCTTCCTCCTAGAACGAAAAAACGCCACTAAAGGTTTTGGGTCGATAAAAGACTCAAAACTTGCGGTGTTTTTAATAACAAACGCCACTATATATGAAACTTATTGCAGCGTTTTTCAAAGAAACGTCGCTAAAGTACGAGTCTATAGCGACGTTTCTTGAACAAACGCCGTTAATGTTACCATTATCTGGCGTTTTGGCTGAAAACGTCGTTGTACGTATAAAATTAGCGGTGTTTACTAACAAAACGCCACTACAAACCTATTTTGACGTAGTGTTTTGGCAATTGTACGAGGATACATTCAAGTAGGGAAGATGATGAGCAACGAAGAATCGATAATTTAGGAAAATAACACTTACTAAATTGAAAGAAATTTTTAAATATTAAGAATTAAATCTGTTGAATTATAATCAATCCGATATAAGATATAAGTTTTGAGGACTAAAATTATTATTATATCGAACCACTTAATTATTTCGTCTAATATTAAACGATAATATAATTTATTTATAATTATATTATTATTACTACGTAAAATTCAATTATTGATGTGAAAAAAAATCACATGAGTTATTATTAACAAGCAAAAGTTAAATATGGAAAACACATGCTGCTTTGGACGTTAACATATTCACATTTTCATATAAAGTTTTGGGTAAATTCTTGTTTAGTACCTAAACTATCAATTTTGATTTATTTTAATACCTAAACTTTCAATTTTTCAAAATCATACCTAAAATTTAACTTTTGTTTCATTTTAGTACTGTGTCGTTAAAAACTGAAAAATAACAAACAATACTTTATAATCATAATTAGAAAATTGTATTAATTTTAGGGATAAAATTTATTTTAGTTAGCATACAATAGTTGTGCCAACTGTCCAATTTAATTTTATAATACACCATAAATGTGGTAGGGCACAAATCATAAATAAGAGTGAGTAAAATTTGACTCGATTTTAAAAAATTAATTTTTTTAACTTGATTCAACTTGAGAAGATTTAATTCGAATTAATTTTTAGTTGTAATTTCATAAACTTGACTCGACTCGAAAAAAATTAAAGTTCAAATCGAGTTGTTTTTTACAAATCGAATAGTAACTCGAATAACTCAAAAATTTTAGTAATTAGTGTATTGATTTTTCAAGTTTTAGTCAAGCACCTCGAATCCGTATGATATATGTATATTACATGCGATAAAAATATGAAAAAACATATATATATATTGAATATAATTATAAAACTATATTTAAATTGGAATAAAATAATAACATAATTATAAATATTTATAATTAAATTTAAACAAAAACTCAAAAATTCGACTCGAATTTTATAAATTAGACTCGAAAATTTCAAATCAACTTTAAATTATAAAATAAGATTCATTAACTAGAATAATTTTATTTTTTTAACTCGAATCGATTCGACTTATCTAAAGCTTATTACTTATATCATAAATGATAGTGGCCATCCACTCTGGATCATTACTGCAAGCCGAGTCGAGTCACGTCCATCGAGCCAAGCCGGTCGGGACGTGCCATCTCGAACCTGATAGGACAGAATCGGTTCGATGACGTCACACATTGGGAAAGCAGTGACGTCAGGACATCTAACCGGGCTTTCCGTGAAGGGCCCTTTGTTCTCCATTTTCACGCCTTAAACAAGCGCGTTATATATACGCTCTTTATCTCTTTTTGATAAAATGTGTTTTCTTAATATATGTTTAAAGATTCTGAATCATTTGATAATGAATACTCATATTTTTACATAAACGATGCTCAAACCTCGGATATCAAGGAATAAAAATTAATTAATTAATTACTGAGATCACTTAATTTATAAATATTTTTATTTAAATATATTTTAACTTAAGCTTAAATATTATTTTGATTACTGATCTAATTGTATTTTATAACGATTAATTTACTCTAATTATATTTTTTTACTTATAACTATAGTGGCTAGGGGTATTTAAAAATACCCAAACCGATTGATACGACCCACCAACCTGGTTAAAAAATAACAGCTACTTATAATAAAAATATTTGATTTTTCAGGTCTGGTACCCGACCAACTACTTTTTTTCGAGTTTTCGGGACGGGTTTGACTAAAAAATATTGCTTATCTGGGTATCTGCAGACCCAATACTCAATTTATTATATATATATATATTTCATTTTTATTTTATATTAATTTTTTATTCATAATTCTCAAATTATTTCACTCCAATATTCTAAATTTTTAATTTCTTAATTTTTACCATCATAACGTTATGAATTCTTAATTTCTTAAACTATTTCACATTAACATTCTAAATTATTTTTAAAAAAATATTTATTTTAACTTCATAATATTTAAAATTTAATTATATTTCTTAATTTTAATAAATTTTCTTTTAATTATGTAGTTTGAATTTTAAAACTTTATTTGCAATATTTAAATCACTTTTGTATTACGTAACGGATATTAAATTTTTAATTACAATCAGATCACTTTATTTAACGATTATAACAACTAAGTCACACAAAGTGTGTAATGCATGCTAACTTTTTGGTTACAATCATGCCATTTTTTTATTGTAATAATCAGTTCATTCAAATACAGCTTACGAGTTAATATTCCTTACAAACTTAGTGATAAAGTGATATAATTGTTAAAGTCAATAAATAGATTGACCTGATTGTAAAAATATTCATAGTGCAATGACTTATATAATTCATCCAAAAAAATCGGGTAAATTATACCATTCCTCACTGAACTTTATTCTATCTCCTATTTTACTCACCGTGCCTTTAAATTTTTAAGTTGCTCATTGAATTTTATAGTTGCTCACTCTGCCGTTATCTTTTTAACAGTGTTATGACATGACGCAAGAATCAAAACGACTTCATTTTGAAAAACTCAAATATATAACAAAGTGACGTCGTTTCAAATTCTTGTCTTTATAGTTGAGTGGACAAAATAGGAGAGAGAATAAAGTTTAGTGAGGAACGGTGTAATTTAATCTTTGTATTTTCAATTATTTTACATTAAATAATAATAAAAAATGATATGTCATCACAACGTCAGAGAATTAAAGGGAGAGTGAGCAAAATGATTAAATATGAAAGTTTAGTGAGCAAATTAGAAAAATTGAAAGTACAGTAAGTAAAATAGGAGAGAATAGAGTTTAATGAAGAACAGTGTAATTTACCCAAAAAAATCTAGCGAGAGCGTGGCTAAAGCACGCTTTAGCTTATGCGTCTGGCTTAGTACATCATTGATGAGCCTTCATTTTGTCGTTTATATCCATCGTTTAAATCCCAACGTCCCATTGATAAGCTTCATCTTAATTTCCAGGAAAATTGTTCATTTTCCTAGGAAGAACACTCTTCTCATCAATCTTTTCCTATATTTTCCCTAGAAAATCAGTTAATCATTCAGGGCATGGAAATGGATTATTCGATGAGCAGTACTCTGCAGGCAAGAAGATTATCACCCAAAAAAGCCAAATCCAAGAAGCCTATCAAAGTAGTGTACATATCAAACCCCATGAAAGTGAAGACCAGTGCCTCGAAATTCAGGGCCTTGGTGCAGAAACTCACCGGCCAAGACGCCGAATTACTCGACGACCTGACAAAGTTCACCGACACTGGAGAAGCGGTCGACGATGTTGGCGGAGAAAATGACAACGACAACGACAATCAAAGGGTCCTCGAGACCGTGGCAAAGAACGGTACCACTTCTCCCTATTGCCGACAACAGTGTTCCGCCATTGCCGTCGATGGCGACCGAGGTGTCCCGCTGGACGCCTTCGACTACGACGACGTATTTACTCAGCAGATGATTGAGAATTTCACAGGGATGTTGCCCCCAGGGCTTTTCATATAAATAAAAAGAAGCTTCAATGTACGCTCTCTTAGGCCTTATTTTATCTCCTTTTTTTTTCTATTTTTCTCCTTCGAGTAGAAAAAAAAATATTGAAGATCGAACTCAAGATCGATATTAATGTCAATATCTCTTTGTAATGAGTATATTTCGAATATATGTTGCTGTATTTTTTTTCTTTCGATCTGTGTTTGAATGAATTTAATTTTATTATTATCGTCATTATTGTTATTAGGGTTGCAAGAAATATCCATGGATGTAACATTCTTTGCTGTTTCTTTCTTGAGGGTTGTTACCTTTCTTTTATCATTTTTATGTTTGTTCGGGTTTATTTCGATTCGAGTTATGGCCCGGACCGAGATCCTACACGTTTGATCTTAGCAAGTACCGTACAGATAGCTACCCTAAGTTAAACAAAGTTGGATTTTTGACATGAGTTAAACAATGAATGTTACATGCATTTTGTTTACATGTGTTATTCCTATAGATGTGTGTGTTAAGAAAAGGATAGTTACAATAATTCATAGTATATATGTGATGATTAAATTACGATAATAATAAATAGAAAATAATCGTAAAATAAAGAATATCAAGATTTAACATGAAAAATATTTTAAAAAAAACTTACAAACAACCAAAGGGAAAATTTCACTTTGCCGAAAAAGAGTACAAAAGATGAACGTCTAAACAAGATTCATGATTTATACAGTTCGCCTCTAAACCCTAATTCCTAATATCGATTTAGAGTGATAGATTTTATGTTTAAAAACGAAACTTGCATAAAATGATATCTACTAAAACCGAGTTTACTACTGTTCACCAGCTTGCAAAGGGAAGAAAGTAGGGTTCTACATGGATTGAACTTCTTCGTCCGTCATCGTAAATCCTCATTTGAACCTTTGTTTTAAGTGAATTTCTTCTTAATCATCTCAGGCCCGATCGAAAAGAATTTAGATCATACAACTCTAACAACACAGAAAAAAAAAACTTTTGGGAATTCATTGCATTTTCTTTTACTTTGTTAGATTTATATAGAATGCACTTACATCAGTTTAATTATACTTTTATACACTAATAGTAAAACATATTAAGAAACATTATTAGTAAATTAACGAATAACTTTAAAAATAAAATTGCATTTTCTTTAACTTTTGGCATGTTATGGTGAAGAAAATGAAATGTCTCTTTCTCATCTTTGTAGTTGCATAAAAAGATGTATTGTCTACTTGATAGGTAGTGCACACATTATTTTTTGTAAAAATAATATATATATATATATATATATACTCTTGTAATATTCGATATGAATTAATAGGTTAATATATCGGATACTTATAATTAAATGAAAGGAATAAAATATAGTGAGAACGACAATGATAATTTACTTAAAATAAGAAAATAATCAATAAAAATATAGCACATAACACTTTCTAATGAACACCGATAATTTCTAAGGAAAAATTATACAGATAAATTTAAAATAATAATTTTTTTGATAAACCCTAGATCTAATCATAATCCTACATGATGGAGGGGAATAAGGAACTCTTGGGGAAGGAAGGAGAATGCTCCTAATTTTTAGCTGACCTTATTCCCATATGTAATAGGGTAAGGGGGAGGTAGGATAGTAGGCTGCCCCCAATGCCAGGTTGAGAGCAGCTTCCATGAGAGACCTTCAGCAGTCAGAATTATGAATTGCTCACCATGGGACTCGATCCCACGACCACAAGGTTAAGAGCCTTGCGCTCTACCAACTGAGCTGGACGGACAATAATTAACATAATCAATTTAAGGGGGAACATAATTAACCATAGAAAATGAGGGGACATAATTAAGGGGGGAACATAATTAACAATAGAAAACGAGGGGACAAAATATAATAAATTAATCATAGAAAATGAGGGAAAAATCAAAATAAATTAAAATTTAGAACCCTATTTAAATATTTGACCATATATTTTTTAACAATAAAAAATGGGAGGCAGTGGCCCTCGGGACGAAGCATAGCTTTGTGCCTACTCCTAATGGGTCTAGAATCTATGATCTAAAGGAATACGAGGGAATAAAGATGAGTATCTCGATCAATCGATCAAATGTATTTGTTCAAAAATAATAATAATTTAAGACTCAAAGTGAATAAAAAATGTATACTTTAAAGTGAAATGCATGCACAAGTTGTTGTATATTGCAGAACTGATATTCAAACAAATTCATTAAAGAAAAATGCAAGTGGGGGGAAATAAAGTAGTGAGGAAAACATGCAATACAGATTGGGGGGACAATGGCTACTTGAAAGCCTAATAACCACAAATTCTGCAATGGAATCAATGAAGATAATTAAACTGTTCCAACCACATATGGATAAAGGTGTTTCTGCAATATCCAGTTCCGGAGAAAGACCTAATCCCAAAACTCGAAAACTTAAAAGGTCGAACTTATGATTTTAATAGTAAAAGAAAATGTTGTTTTCCGTAAAAAATTCGAGTGTGAGCAGCTACTACGTCAGTAGGATGGGTGTACATTATCAGAAAATTCTGAATAGATGATATCTTATAATCACATTAGACTGTTCAAAAAATATCAAAGGTTAGTATTTTATTAAGTCATCGAAGTCTTGATTAACTTAAAATAAATTAGAAGTCTAGACTGTTCACTAAAGTACAGATGGCCGGCTTCCTCCATTGCCTGGTTACAAAACACAGGTAATAGCATGCTTCTACAAACTACAATGAGTTCTGTACTCAATGCACTGATCACTGTATAGAAACTCATCCGCATTCTTAACCTTTCAGGTGGGAAGCAATCAAAGGAGGAAATATACTCCGAACCCCAGGTTTACAATGGAAATTTGGGACAAATTTTAGGGTTTAAAAGAAAGATTTTGGGATTCTTGAGTCGAACTCTTCTTTTCATTTGGATTTAAGGATTGGGTCAACCCATTGCCATGGACTTTGATAGAAGAAGGAGAAGGAGAAGAAGGGGAGTTAACAGTAGTTAAGTGTAATTTCAGCAAAAACTAACAGGAAATAACAGTATATACTGAAAACGAATTAAAAGTTGAATTACTGTATTGCGAGTTTTAAAATCTGATGATCAAAATGTAAGTTTCCTAAAAATTTGAAGACTATTTGTATACTTTGCCCCTAATGTTATTTTTTATTACCAAAACAGAGAAAGGTGAGTGCTTTGCTTTTGCTCACACTTTCTTTGTGCATATCTTCAGGGATTTTACTGCAAATTTCTTAAACAGAGTCGTTAAACCTAATGAGTCAAAGCTGGTCATTGGTTTTTTTCTGTAATGGGTTTCACTTAAATCTTTGGTTTAGGTTTCAAATTGGAACTCGCCACTGATCAATGCCTCTTGCTTTGAATTGGAGGTAAAGTTCTCATCTTTAATCTATTAGCGTTGCCTTTATTTAATTTCGAGTAGCTTAATCAGTTTCAAATTGCTCCAAATCGTTGGGGAAAAACATGTCTCGAATCATTTCGGCTTGTATGAAATTGGAAGGTGGTGATGGGTAGAAAAATTCTAGGGTTTTGCTTTGAATTGGATGTGATTTCTCCTTTTTAATCTGTTAGGGTTTCCTTTGTTTAGATTTGGGTTACTTAATTAGCTTAACAGTTATCCAAATCGTTGAGAAATACAAAGTCTCTTGCAATTCGATTTATATGAAATGGAAGACGGAGGTGGGGAAGAATACATAGATAAATCTAGGATTTTGAATGTTAAGCCACTACGATGTTTGGCTCCCATATTCTCACCGATGCCGAGTTTCCCTACGTTTCCGCATCCCCAAGCTGCCCCGCCTTTTGTTTGTGCGCCCCCTGCTGGTCCTTTCCACTCTGGTTTTGCGCCATTCTATCCGTATTCCGGTTACCCGAACACTCAAAACATGCAAACTTCGATGCCGTATGGGATCAATGGCATTGGCACCATTCCCGCGGTTCCTATCAGTTCATTCAGGAGTGAAGCAAATGGGGATGCCGGAAGGAGTTCGAGAAATCCGGGTTTGTCGGAACATGAAGAGGATGGTTACAGTGATGAGGTTCATGTAATTGATGTTGAAGATTCAAGCAAGGCTGCCCCAAAAAGAAAAAAGACTCAGAAGAGGACGCGGGCTGGCGGCAGCCAGGACGTCAATGTTGCGTCCTCTGATGTGGATATAGATGGTGTCGTTGATAAAATTGTTGAGTCATTTAATCTCTTGGATTTCGATACGTTCAGGCGAGCCGATGGTGACAAGGAAGCAGTAGAATATATAAGGTTGACCTACGATGTGCTCCGAAGAAAAATTTCTCAAATTGAGGATGCGAAGGAATCTACTCCAGGAGCAACGAGACGACCCAACTTAAGAGCGGGAACGATCCTAATGAACAAAGGGATTCGGACTAATGTGAAGAAGAGAATTGGTGTTGTGCCTGGTGTGGAAATTGGAGATATTTTCTTTTTCAGGATGGAGATGTGTTTGATTGGATTGCATGCTCCAATTATGGCTGGCATTGATTACATGGGGCTCAAGGTCTCTCAAGGTGAAGAGCCTGTAGCAGTTAGTATTGTCTCGTCCGGAGGATACGAAGATAATTCGGAGGATGGCGATGTGTTGGTTTATAGTGGCCAAGGTGGAAATGTTAATAATAAAGGCATGGAAATAACTGATCAGAAGCTTGAAAGGGGCAATCTTGCTTTGGAGAAGAGCTTGCATCGAGGTAATGAGGTTCGAGTGATTCGTGGTGTAAAGGATATATCAAATCCAACGGGAAAGATATATGTTTATGATGGTCTTTATAAAATCCAGGATTCATGGGTGGACAAAGGGAAGTCTGGTTGCAATGTTTTTAAGTACAAATTAGTTAGGTTATCCGGGCAGCCTGAAGCATATACAGTGTGGAAATCTGTTCAGCAGTGGAAGGATGGCAGTGCTGCTAGAGTTGGCCTTGTATTGCAAGATCTCACTTTTGGGGCTGAAAGCATACCTGTTTCTCTTGTAAATGATGTCGATGATGAAAAGGGCCTGGCAAATTTCACATATTATCCCGGTCTAAGATACTTAAAGCCTGTAAATTCAAACGAATATTCAACTGGCTGTGATTGCCATGGTGGGTGTATAGCTAGTAACTCCAACTGCCCTTGCATTCAAAGAAATGGTGGCTATCTCCCATATACTGCCAACGGTGTTCTTGTCAGCCAAAAAGCCTTGATACATGAGTGCGGTTCTTCATGCATGTGCCCTCCTAATTGCAAGAATAGGGTATGTCAGAGTGGTCTGAAAGTTCGTTTAGAGGTGTTTAAAACTAAAGATAAAGGTTGGGGTCTAAGGTCCTGGGATCCTATCCGCTCTGGGGCTTTTATTTGTGAATATGCAGGGGAAGTCATTGATATTTCTAGGGCTGAGGAGCTTGGAGGCGTAAATGATGACGATTATATTTTTGATGCAAACCGTTCTTGTCAGTCGGGGGAATGTATCCTGGGTGTATCTAATGTGACTCCAAAGATCCCATTTCCGCTAGTCATAAGGGCAAAACATTCCGGTAACGTAGCGCGGTTTATGAACCACAGCTGCTCCCCGAACGTCTTCTGCCAACCAGTTTTGCGAGAGAATAGCAAGGAGTGTGATCTGCATGTTGCGTTTTATGCATACAGACATATTCCTCCAATGACCGAGTTGACATATAGCTATGGCATTGTTCCACCTGATAGAGCACACCAGAGGAGAAAAAAGTGCCTTTGTGGATCAGCAAAATGTGTAGGCTACTTTTACTAGTGGTCTATCAACTCGTGAATTCTAATCTGCGTGTTTTTCTTCTTTAGAAAGGTCAGTTTTCTCCAATTATGTGGTATTTTTACTTTAGATACGCTTAATCCTCTTAGATTTGACAAAGTATTGTAGATCAGAGGTGGTCGTTATCTTTAATTGTACAAAGTGCTTGCTTCCTTAATACGGCTTTATCTGATTAAAATGAAAAACAGAGCTCCCTGAAACCTTATCTTTGTGAACCCTAAATCAGTGATAATGTTATTGCTTAGACATTGTTCTAAGCTATTTGCTAAGATTTAAATTAAGATTGCTATCATTGTGTGTGAAAACTGATTGGGATTGAGAAAAGATCACTTTAATCTTTTAAGAGTATTAATAGTGCTCGATGGGGATGTATCCCATATCTCTCTCGTTAGCTTAAAATGATGTCAACCGGTTTGAATATGAATTTTGCTATGCAGTTATGTACTGCTGTGTCTATCACTGTTATTAGCCACGCGGGGGGGGGGGGGGTTAATCCCGTTCCTCTCGTTGGCCTAGGCGTGCTTTTTGTCAAGGCGATAGGCATACAAAAACTCATAGAAATTGCATATTGAACATAAGGAAACCAGTGCATATTGAACATAAAAGAAATTGCATTTTGAACATATACACATAAAGGCATACAAAAACTCATGCATATACATGGTCGATATGAGTGCCTAGAGTGCACCCTGTGCATTGACTGTTCCAACTAGTCAATGTACGAGTGCCCTTTATGTCCTTTACTTCATGCTACATTAGGGTAGGTTGATCCATGAATGCATTTGTGCTGAAGAATTGGCAATTGATTTTACAGGTGCGGAGGCATACCGACATCTCCGCTCGTGGCTGATGAGCTCGCACGAAATGTTCCTCCTTGCCCTCTCTTACTTTTTGACACCTGGGTTCCCGTAATGAAATTTTAACTTTCGAAAACGGAGCATTTTAGCAGAACTGCTGATTAAAAAAACACATGTATAGTGTAGTTTCTGTTCTTCTATCTCCATGTTTTTTTTCTGTAATCACCAAAGTTGTTTTTGTGTTTGGTCTAGGGCAAGGTGACCACTAGGGATTCACCTGAACCGAAGTACACTTTTGAGGTTTTTGAATGTTCAAATATATCAATACTTGATGTCTGTAACTAGGGAAACATGGTAACTTATGTATGACATCAATATCATGCATATTTGCTCAAGTTCGATTCGGACCTGAAACACGAGCTTTAAAATTTTTCGAACTCCTTTATCTATAATCTATCTTTCTAGTCTGATAGTGTGCAACTATCAAGCTTGGTTCAGAAATCGAGTATCTGAAAAGAGAGACAAGAAAATTGAAGCTGTCACAAATGAACCAAATGCCATATATCACATCTAAACCAGAAAAACAAAAACAATACAACACCACAAATTGTAATACAAAGACCAAGAAAACCACTGCTTTCCCGCACAAAGTGAGTGGTTCAATACATTACATACATTTTTACTTTAAAGTGGCTTCATACATTGGTCCTCTATAATGGGTATCTGCAAAACCTGAATAGTCGATCAATATATCAGATATCGATGGTTAAAAAAAACTTCATACATCAATTACTTGTAAGAGAACGAGGTGCTACGCAATCCCAGTGAGCAAAATGTGTGCATCCTTCCTCTATACACTCGAGGGCTAGATCTTGATAAGCAAGTGAGGGTGTGAATCATCTTCAAATGTGTATGTGCTTCCAGCATTGATAAATGGGTGCTTCCCCAAAACACATTTGATATGCATAGCTTTGTCATAAGTTTCACAATGATAAAACCATTGTTGTGGATCTTTTTCTTCTTCACAGATGTCACAATAGTGTCGTAACGGATAGTCATCGAGATCGTGATAAGCAAGTGTCAAAGAATGTTCATCTCACATATGCCATGCCATACTTGGGAATGTAACCCATCTCCCATGCCAGAGCATATGTGCAATCCTTGCATCTGTATATTTTATCAAAACGGGTAAAATCTTTACCGCAAGCATTGCAATTCCTTTTGTAGTTGTCGTCATTGAAGAGGAAATGTGGCTCATCTGCTTGATATGTAAAACTGTGAGATACTGAAGCACATCTAAGGCATAAGAGCATGAAATCATTCATTTAGGAGAAACCACAACGATAATAAAACCCCAACCGATTGTAGAGTTTGCACAGGCTGCATTCAGGGAAGTCTTGATCGGGATCATCGGAAACAAGCGAAAGTCGGTGTTTGCGGTGGCAAGGGTGCTTAATTGTTGAGGCATCATCTGTTTCTATTGAGTGGAGGCAGGCATCGCAGTGAAAAGACTCGATTGGATTAATTGAAACCAAAGGATGTTCATGGGAAGCATGGAGGGTTTCAGTGAAATCTGAATCAAAGTAGGATGTTTTTTTCTGTTTGACACAGGCAACTTGAACATTGATTGTAGCGTAGAGCCTTACAGATGATGAAAGAACTCAAGTCGAGTTCATTCCATTTTAGTGTTGATCAATATTTGATCGAGTTGAATTCGAGTAGTTCGAAATTTGTCTCGGCCCCTACTTAGAAATGAAATCTGAATTAGGATGTTTCGTCTGTTTGACACAGGCAACTTGAACATTGAGTATAGAATTACATTTTTAGAGAGAAGTGTAAAATAAATAACATAGAAAAGGCACTCAAAACATGTTCATATTCCATAAAATAAAACAATATAGCTTAGCACGAACCAATATACCTCAGTAGTTAAAGGAATCGTTATTGTTCCTGGAGGTCACGGATTCGAGCGCCAACGACCGCAGCAGGGTGATTGAGCCTGTCAATGTCTTTAATAACATAATATAGGAAACATAATTTCTGGTTGCCATATGCCATTATAGTCGAACAGGTCATTTGGATTAATGGAAACCAAAGGATGTGGGTGGGCAACATGGAGGGTCTCAATCAAGTCTCCAACAGTGTCACGAGGAAGTAAAGCGCAATTAAAGTCGAGGTAAAATTCACAAGAAGAACAACGATAAATAAATCCCTTAGTCTCATTGAAGCAAATGTTGCAATAAACTTCTCTATTCTGATGTTCCGAGGCTGAAAGAAAAGAAGAGGGTGATTGCGGTGAGCAGGGTGATGCTGAATCTCCGAGGGCGCCTCCGCACTTTTCTTGTGCAGGTAAAACCGACACTCGCCGCAGCTGTAGCTCGGACCTGACACCTTTTCCGCACAGCCAGCGCAATCGTATGTGGTGTCGCTTAACTTGAACATTGCATGCATAACATAGGATATTGTGGGTGAAGAATATTCAAATCCTTGTCTGCTTAACTCGGTCCGCTTAACTCGGTCTTTAGGGAAAACCCACACACACCCGCATACGCGACCTTCAGGGAAAACAACACTTCTTTCGACCACTCGTTTTCTGAAGTCCTATTAGATTGAAAGAATTATAATAAGACAATATCAACTACCAATACCTTATGAACTACACATGAACACATATAAACATGTTTGACTCAAACAAGAAGCTTCAAATAAGCAGGCAAGGACCTTCATATCATGTATTTCATGGCTTTCAAATAAGGTTCTTTCATCATTTAGGGCTTATAACTAAATATATGTCCATTATATTAACCTTTAATCATGTAAGTTCCATATACTTAAATGTTATTCTTTTAGTCATTTAGTTCCATGTACTCGTGTATAGGCCTTTAGGCAATCCTTTACTTGTCATGTACTCATGTCTCATCTTATAGGTCATAAAGGCAACATAGCTTGTTATAGGGTAAATTACACGTTTAGTATCCAAATATCAGTTTTGGTCCGTTTTAGTACTTAAACTTTCAGTTTTTTCAAAACCACACCTAAAGTTTAGTTTTTATTTCATTTTAGTGTCCGTTGTTAAAAACTTTAGCTTTTGTTCCATTTTGGTACTAAAACGGACCAGAACTGATAGTTTAAGTACTAAATGCGTAGTTTACCTCTTGTTATATTATCATGTAAACACCATATAGTCCGTATGGCAACATGTTCATTTAACCATTTGGATTATTCACTTTAGGGCATTTCACTTAAGCATGTAATTCATTCAAGCATACATTAGCATGCATTTCCTATATCAAGCATGCATATCATCCAAGCATACATATTCATTCAGACACTTTGGCACGTAAATCATATAAGGTTCAACTTCAGACATGGAATCTAAAATCAAACAATTGAACAAAATCTGGCACTAATGAACCAAATAACCATATATTTCATCTAAGACTAAACCAGAAAAAAGAAAACAATACAATACCACTGATGGTTACACCCAAGAAAACCACTCTGTTTTCCGACACCAAGTTCTCTTATTGAGCGGTTTAATACATCATTACCACTGGTACCAGTGTTGCAGCCACTACCAGTGTCACCGCCATTACTAGTGTCACTGCCGCTATCAGCTCCACCATTAGAGATTTCGGTACAATGCAGGTCCAATGAACAATATATTTGCATCCATGCTCCTCACACACGAGGGCTAGATCTTGGCACGGTTCACCACAGTCATTGCATTCAGGGTAGTAATACATCTTCCTGACGAAAGTGAGAGGATGCGGATGACCTATATATGTGTATTTAGTTCCGGCCTTGATAAATGAGTCTTTCCCAAGAACACATCTGATATGCAAAGCATTGTCACAAGATTCACAACGATAATACCATTTCCGTGGATCTCTTCTTTCCTCACAAATGTCACAATAGTGTCGTAACGGATAGTCGTCGGGATCTTGATAAGCAAGCGTCAAAGAATGTTGATCACACTTATGCCGAACAGTGCGTGGTAATGTCAAACATCTCTCATGCAAACCAAATGTGCAATCCTTGCATCTATAAACCCCATAATCACGCCGTAAATCTTCACAACAAGCATTGCACTTGCCTTCATGATTTTCAACATAGAAGATGAAATGTGGCTGATCAGCTTTATATGTAAAACTGTGAGATCTTGAAGCACATTTTATGCATATGTAAGAATAAGAAGCATTCGAACTCCGATCCAATTTGTAATAGAAACCACTATGATAATATCGACACATACGACAAATGAAAATACCATCTGTGCGAAGACTGAAGCGTTCAAAACCAGACCATGGTTGATATTTCCTTGGTAGCTCAGCACATGTCTTGTGGATAAAGAAATCACAGTGTGGACAACAATAAAATGAGGATAGGAGAGGTAGCACACACCCATTGCAAAAAGTATTTTCCTTAATTTCATTTGAGAGTACCAACTTATGCTCATGACTGACATGTTCTATCTCTCCCGCTATTACATCATCCCCTACTTTGATTTCCTTGATAATACGAATGATGCAGCTCATGGGCTTGTACAGCGGATCAGGTTCCTCAAATTCGTCCAAATTTTCAACCTCAAACACACTATATGAATTCTTCTTCTTAATGGAACACTGGACATGGATAACAAAATCGCAACCTGGCCGGGAACAATAGTAACTCCCATGCTCGATGTTTACATTTTCGAAACAGATTTTACAGTCCCAAGTTCTAGGATCATTGTGGTCAATGCAATGGAAAAAGCAGTGGGAAAGGGGATGGGGATGGAGACGAAGTGTAATGTGACGCGGCAATGAAGTGCAATCTTTATGAACTTGAATGTTGCAGGTAGAACAGATATAGGAAACATAATCTCCTTGGTCGCCACACGCATTACAAAAGAAGGGATTATTTGGTCTTAACAACAAAGTGAAGGGGTGATCATGGTGAGATTTATCTTCAATAACAGGTGGTGGCCAAGCACATCCGGCATGAATGTCGATCTTGCAAGGGACACAACGATAGAAAAACTCTCCCTGAAAATTTCTTCGACACAGGTTGCAAACAGAGTCGGCACCCTTGAAATCGAGCATAAGCTGGTGTTTCCGGTGGCAAGGATGATAGATTGAAGTGGGTAGTTGAAGACATTTTTTATGGTAGAGCTTTGTACAATCAAAACAAGCGTATGAAGCCTCATTTATTTGGCAGAAACAACCATTGCACTTGAGATGTCCTGCTGGATTAATGGGGATCAAAGGATGTGCGTGAGCAACATGGCTGATCTCGAAGAAGTTTCCAGCACCAATGTCTTGGGGAAGGAAAGCGCAATTAAGGTCAAGATAAAGTCCACAAGAAGAACAATGATAAACAAATCCCCTGAGCTCTCTGTAACAGAAGCTGCAAACTTCTCTTTCCCAATACAACGATGGTGGAGAAAAGAGAAGAACAAGACGGTGTTCGCGGTGGCAAGGGTGACGAATTTCAGTAGGTAGTTCAAGACATTTTTTATGTGCGAACATTTTACAATCAAAACAAGCGTATGAAGCATCGTTTACTTTCAAAGGGTCTCTACAACCCATGCAGTTAAAACATCCAATTGGATTAATGGAAACCAAAGGATGAGGGTGGGCAGCATAAAGGGTCTCATCCAAGTTTCCAACACTAGTGTAACATGGAAGCAAAGCGCAATCGATGTCGAGGTAAATTTCACAAGAAGAAGAACAATGATAAATAAATCCCTTGGCCTTTTTGTAGCAAACTTTGCAACAAACACCGGTTTCTGGATGTTGGGATGGTGGAAGAAGAAGAAGAGGGTGTTCGCGGTGAGCAGGGTGGTGAATCTCCGAGGGCGCCTCAGCACATCTTTTGTGGAGGTAAAACCCGCACTCCGTGCAGCCGTAGCTCGAACCCGACACCGGTTTGGCGCAGCCAGCGCAGTCGTGCTTGGTGTCGATTGTACCGGCGGTGTCTTCTTTGAATACGAGTGGATGGCGATGACTCGTGTGGTGAAGCTCCGCCATGTTCCTTTCTCTCTGCGTCTCTCCGATGATCCAAATTTTTTTCACTTACAGGCACCAACTCCGGCCAGCCTCAAAATTATCCTTTATTGGAATCTGATTCAACTTTGTCTGTTTCACACAGGCAACTTGAACATTGAATATTGCATGGAGTGCGGTGAAGAATATTTAAATCCTCCTCTGCTCGACTCTTCTTTACCTTACTTACCGAATATATATATATAGGGTAAATTACGTATTTAGTACCTAAACTATCAGTTTTAGTCTGTTTTAGTCCCTACACTTCAATTTTTTCCAAAACCATACCTAACGTTTAGTTTTCATTTCATTTTAGTACTCCGTCGTTAAAAACTCAACGCGTTTAACACATAAACTATTAGTTTTGGCCCATTTTAGTACCTAAAATTTCAATGTTTTCAAAACTTAATGTTAAATTTTGAGCGGGGCACTAAAATGAAACAAAAACTAAAGTATTAAACGACATATACTAAAATGAAATAAAAAACTTTAGGTATGGTTTTGAAAAAATTGAAAGTTTAGGTATTAAAAAGGATAATAAGTGATAGTTTAGGTATTAAACACGTAATTTACCCTAATATTTATTGTATCGAAAAACATTAATAAATGGGTAAATTACATGTGTAGTATCTCAATTATCACTTTTATTACGTTTTGGTCGCCCAACTATTTTTTTCAAATCATACCTGACATTATGTTTTGGTTTCACTTTGGTTACCGTTGTTAAAAAATCAACATAACTGTTGGCGTGATATTTTTATTTTTGCAATGATGATGTGTTAAGACCATTTTATGGTTTAAGCCATAAAGATACCCTTTTATTTTTAAGGAAAAAAGGGTTAAATATATATTTTGGTACTTAAATTTGGTTTCAAGATTTAATTTGGTACCTACATTTTTGTCCAATTATGTACGTAAACTTGACTTTAAGGTTCAATTTGGTACCTACGATTTTTTTGTCCAATTTGATACTTAAACTTGACTTTAAGGTTCAATTTGATATCCGGAGTTCTTTTGTCCAAATAGGTACCTAAACTTGACTTATTGATTCGAAATTGTACTTGAGCATGTTTTTATCTTTCAATTGGTACATATGATAAATGACTTATTTGAATCAATTGAACACTAAAGCCAAATTTGAATCAAAATATATTATAATTTTCGATAAATACATAATTTATAAATTTTATCTATTTTGTTTTAAAATATAATTTCCAAAACAACATTTTTCACCTTAAATCAATTTTGTATAGAATTTATATATTTTATGCTAAATTTAATGATGCAAACTAAGTTCAATAAAATTAAACAAAATTGTGGTATTTTAAACTTCTAATTTAAATAAAATAGATATTTACTCGAAAACTTTGTAATTTTAAGGGTAAATTATACCATAGATCACCCAACTATAGTCCATTTTTCATTTCGATCACCATTTTTGAATTCTTGTAAATCAGACCACTCAACTATTTAAATGCATTCAATTAGACCACTAGCCGTTAACATTAAAATAATGATGTGTCAGTTAATATAACTTGTATAATTACACATTTGATCCCTGATATTTTTAAATTCTTTCAGTTTGGTCATAATTTTAATTCAATTTGATAAATTTAACCTCCAATTTGGTGCCGACATTTGTCACTACTATATTGGAGTATATTTATTAATTTTATTAATTTTATTAATTTTATTTATTTTATTTTGTATCCAATTAGGTGGTGACACGTGTCCCACTTTAATGGATACAAAATGTTGAAAATTTTCAACTTGCTCTTGGTGGGGATCAAACCAACACCCCACAACCCCTTTAGGGGCATGCTAAAACCACTGGATTGAGTCCCTCAATTCGTATTATATTCCAACATTTTATATATAATATGTTCTAACCAATGGTAGAGGAAAATAAGAAACATGTCAACACCTAATTGGATACAAAACAAAACAAAATAAATAATTAAAATTAATAAAATATCATCTAATATAGTAGTGACACATGTCAGCACCTAATTGGAGGTTAAATTTATCAAATTGAATTAAAATTATGACCAAACTAAAAGAATGTATAAATATCGAGGATCAAATATGTAATTATACCAGTTTTATTGATTGACACATCATCACTTCCGTTAAATGTTAACGACTAGTGGTATGATTGAATGCATTTAAATAGTTTAGTGGTCTGATTGACAAGAATTCAAAAATGGTGGTCAAAATGAAAATGGGATATAGTTGGGCGGTATCTGGTATAGTTTACCCTAATTTTAATTATTTTTGGGTAAATTACATTATTCCTCGTTGAACTTTACCATCCTCTATTTTACTTAGCGTACTTTCAATTTTTTCTAATTTGCTCATTGAACTTTACAGATTGAATCATTTGACTCACTATGACGTTATCTCTCTAACGTTTTGACGACGTTCCATTTTTTATTATTATTCAATATAATATAATTGAAAATATAAATGATAAATTACATCTTTCCTCGCTGAACATTACTTACTCTCATATTTGCTCACCCAACTATAAAATAAAAATAGAAGGTGGCCTAATGCCACCGTTGTCCACTGTTAGGGGTGTTCAATCGGTCGGTTCCATTAACCGACTGAACTGGACTTTCAAAATTTCATTAACCGAATTTTTTTCGCTTTAACCATTAACTGTATCGAATTTTTTTGAAAATAATTAACCAAACTGAACAAAGTTCGGTTAATCAATCGATTAATCAAATTAACCAAAATTTTAAATAATATATATTATATATTTACTATTTAATATTTAATATTTTTGGCTAATTGTATTAATTTGATCGATTAATTCAATCGATTTATTAGGTTAAAATTTAAATTTAAATACTCCTAAAGCTATTAATATATAAATAATATATTATATATTTAAAAATTTTGGTTAATTCACCGATTTTAAACCGAATTAACTGATAAATTAACTTTAAAAAATATTAACCATTAATCGATTGAACTTAAAATTAACAGACCGATTAACCAAAAAAATTCCATTTCAGTCGTTTTATAGGTTAATCGAACTTTTGAACACCCTTAGCCACAGTCGACCGGTGGAGATGGTGTTCGTTTGGTCCCAAATTTCGTGGATCGCCTCGACACCTTGAGTCCGAATCTGACATTCATTTTATTGGAACTTGCTCCGAAGTCCACGAATTGAAGATTGAAAGTAAGGAAGCCGAAACATTTCAGTTGAGATTCACAGATTTTGGGACATTTTTCGGTGAATCAACCACCAGATATAGACTCAGGGGGTCGAGACAAATGACCCATGAATTTTGAGATCGAACGACCACCATCAATGACGATAGATATTGATAATAATAAAAAATGACGTGGGCAACCGATCACCTTATTTGCAAAGTAAAGAAAAAATGAGAGATGGGGAAGAAGAGTATTCGAAATGACATCGTTTTGGTGTATATTTAATTTTTTAGAAAGACACCATTTTGATGCTCGTGTCATGTGATAACACCGTTAAAAAGTTAACAGCATGGTGAGAAAAATGATTCAATATGTAAAGTTCAATGAGCAAATTATAAAAATTGAAAGTACGATGAGTAAAATCAGAAATAGGGTAAAATTTAGTGAGGGATGGTGTAATTTTCCCTTATTTTTATGGGTAAATTATATGTTTAGTACCTAAAGATCACTTTTATTCTATTTTAGTACCTAAACTTTTAATTTTTTTAAAATCATACCTAATATTTACTTTTTATTTCATTTTAATACCCGACGTTTATTTTTTATTTCATTTTAGTACCTAAATTTTTAACACGGGTTACAAAATTAATAGTTTAGATAATAAACATGTATTTTACCCTATTTTTATTTAATATATATGATCAATTCAATTTACTCATGTTTGTCAACAAAACCAAAACACAAAATTGCAGGTAGATTAGGTATGTAGGGCCATTTACTGCCGGAAGAGATATCTTTTGTTTCCCACGCGCACTTCCAAAGAGTGAAATGCAAGGCTTCATCTTGATAATCTCGAGGCAGGCGCGTGAAACGTACACAACCTCAACTCTGCGCTCTTAAATCTCAATCCCGTGAATCTCGTATAGGCCGGTCTCATATAAAAAAGTTATCTTTTTTTCCTTCTTGTCCAATAATAAAATGTCTTTCTTCCTTGTGATTATCTAATAAATGATTGAAATTTGATTTGATTTAACAAGATGAAATATTAATCGATTTTTTATAATTATAAAATATTAATAAATTCGATAGCAATTAAAAAAATAAAGGTAAATTATATTTTAATTTGTCACTTATTTCTATTTATTATTTGATTATTTTTTAATAAATTATATTTAATATTATATTATATTTTTATTTTAATCATCAATCGTTAGAGAAGTTAAGGGTGGACTTTGTAAGGACTCATCCAGTTTCTCATCCAATTGGGAGAGGATAAATATATGTTTAGTTGATGGTGGAACGAGAGAAATGATCACATGCGGTAGTTTTAATATACGATTAAAAAAATATTATCGGTTTTATTATTATTTAAATAATAAAATCAATAAAAAATTATCGAAAACATTATTATTTCTACCGATTTTGTTATTGTTTGACACTTTATCGGAAATGTTAAAAAACATTAATGTTTTAGATAGAAATAATTATGTTTTAGATTTTTTTTACCGATTTTGTTATTTAAATAATAACAAAACCGATAATATTTTTTTAGTTATATATTAAGGGTGTCGTATTGTAGAATTTCCCGAAACGAGGATAGAGATAAAAATTAGACTTGGGTGATGGAATAGACATTAATACACAAAACTTTCGAGATAATGTTCTGGAAAAAATTAATTCACGAGATAAAGCACTCCCAAGATTAATTGCTCAAATAAAGTGAAATCCACAGTGTTGACAGTAGGTCGCCATGCCTTCCGGGCAACCTACTAGGTCGCCATCTTCCTGGCGAGCTACAAGAGATTGCATGTGTCATGCAC